AACATAGCCAGTGCCCATGCTGGATGAGGATGATGGTAGTTGTAATGAACACATCTGGAGGCTGGGAAAGGAGGAACTGAGATGTAGAAAGAGCTGTTCGACTTTGCCAAAGTAATCCTACAGCTACAGAGATAAGAAAGCAAAGTTCGATAACTGCAATGTCCTGGATGGGGCGAGGAAGAGAAATTAGGACCCAGAACTGGACACATTCTTGATTCGTAACCAATCTGGCATCAATTGTGATGTTAACTAATGTTAGTTCCTTTCTTTAAAAACACGGATATTACATATATTTATCCAAAACACCTTGCAGGAGGGTCTGGGAATGCTGAATGCCTGAATCCAGGGCCATCCCAGGCATGTCATCACCTGAGCTGAAGGACCAAAGGGTGCCCCAGCCCTTTCTCTTGCAAGGGGCAGCTGGATGGGCAGCTGGGCCTTGCTTCAGCAGTGGCAATGGCACCATGTCCTCCACCACACCTGCGGGTGGCAGACTAGCTGACGATGCGCAGCACACACCGTTCCGTCTACCAACATCTCCCTGGTATCCCCTCCTCAGTAGCACCCACTGCTTGAGCAGCAGCTTCACTTTATCTAATGGAAGAGCTGGTCCTACTAACTCATAAGGATCAATAGGCTCAACTGGTAATGAGACGATGTTACGGGCTGGTTTCCACACACGATTCAGAATTTTGGCCTTAGTGCATGAAGACCTTGCCGTGAGGAAGCTGCTCTCATTCTGCAAAGGTAATAGTTTCATGAGACTGATGTATCAACGCATTCACAGAACCAGTCAGCATATCGAGAAAATTACCTGCTGTTCACGATCAGAATCCTCATTTAAGTCAAGATTTATGAAGCAGCAAAATTAAAGTAGTATTTATAAATGAACAAAGATGCCATGAAATCTAACAAGGGACTTTAGCAAATGCATTTCCCTGATGTTCAGTCTAGTTGGTATCTTTTTAGGATTTTTAGGAATTGTCTGCTAGGAAAATTGACTGCTACAGTCAAGCCCAACCTCCAATCAGGTGGGAATACAAAGCTTCCCAAGCACACGTTATATTGCAAAATTTACACAAAAACAGAGTTACAACACAGTCCAGCCTTCTAACACTTACCATTTCCTTTCTGGAAAAAAAGTAGCCAACATTGAGCATAAAATATCCCTAAAATCTATTGATTTAGCCATTGGGTGTTTTAATGTCCTCAAAAAAAGCAATGGGGGGCATAAAATATCCCCACAGCTTTTCCAGAGAAAACTGGTGAATGTATTTAGGGTATCAGAAAGTTGGCACAAACAGTGGGATACCATTGCAGAACATTCATCTCAACAGAGACAAATTTCATAAGGGATTGAGGAAATACCCACAAGACGGAGATGTAGGGAAATTTTGCTTTTTTCACAAATCATCCAAATATGTAGCATTTGTAATCCTGAATGTAAGCAGAAATTCCTGAACTTCTGATTGCATTAAATTCATTTTTTTTAAAAAAAAGGATGTTTGAAATGTGCATTTAAAACACATACATTTGCACATGTTACTCAATGGGAGTAATTTGCACTTGTAAAAAAAACTGCTAAGAAATAGGCATTTTTCCTATTTGAAATGCTCACCTTTCATATTTGAACAAGCAGAAACAAGGACAAAAACTGGAAAAGGCCAAAACAAGCTCCAAAGCAATTTTGGACAATTCAAGCAAGGTTGAAAATTGCAGGTTCTCTTGTTGGCCTCTAGTGATGTTTTATCAGAAGTTTTACCTTGATAGCCCTGATAGTTTTCTAATACTTTAAAGCATACTTCCAACACCACAGGCATATTTCTGGTTGTGAGGCAATTTACCACCCAAAAATACATTGGAAAATGGCTTGGGGTGGTAAAATGTTCCCCCTGTCACAGCACACATTTGTGCATGTTTGGTGTGTGTGCTGGATGCTAACACAGTAAAAGTCCTCTATAAAAGATGAACAAGGAGTTCAGGATTCTACCCTGTGTATTTTTATGTCTGCCAGAAGAAGAATGATCCTCATTTCAACTCTTTCTCTCTCTCCCTCCAACATGAAATATTCCATATGCAACTTTATCTCTTTGGCATTACCCTAGCAGTGAAGACCCAATGTGGGGTGGGGGGTCTCCAACTAGAATTTTCCACCCTTTCTCAAGGAGGAATTTTTCAAAGAGGCTGCAGTCATGTGGGTGGGCAAGAGGATGGATGGATAGACAGACGGAAAAGGGAGTTTCCTTCATGGGTTTCCAATAATTGGTATGTGGTTTACATTCCATTCATCTGAAGGACTGGGATATTAATCAGAACCAGGCACCAGCTACTAAAACTACCTCTAGCATTCAAAAACATGCGCCAGTGTGTTTTCTCACATGCGTCTTTGCTTCGACACCCACAGTCCCCCGAGAGAGATTGTGGTCGCTTACTACCATAAGCTGAAGCTGCAGGTACTATAAAAGGAACAGCCTTGGAGATCTTTTTCCAGGGAGAGGTTTTGCTGATTGCTAGCTTCAGAAGCAGAATTATTTTATAGTGAGGGAAGCATTTCTGTCTCTCTCCCCCTCCCTCTCTCTCTGTCTCAAATTGGCTTAACTTATATGCAGGAGAGATGGAGGTGTGGACCATCCAGCTTTGGAAAAACCTCATCTGGATGGAGTCATGGAAGCCTGGCAGTCGTGTCTGGCACCTGGTAGCCGGACATTAAAGTGGCCAGGCAATGAATAAAGCCCAGCTGCTGGCAGTGGGGTTTACTGTGCGGTTGGGAAGTGTACACAGAATCTGGCTGGAAGTACCTCGTGGTCATGCAAACTGACTTTTGAGTCCTCACCCAGAGGAGGGCAAGGGATGTGGCATTTGGCTTCTGTGACTAGTCACACGGAGAACGGGCTAATGAGAAAAGGATGGTTAGGATCTCAGCCTGTGTTACTTGGCCAGAGACAATATGATGCTGTTCAAAAGATGGCATATTGGAGACCAGGTTTCAAATTCCAGCACAGCCATGGGTTAGCCACTTAGTTAGCCATTGGGTTAGCCATTCATCATTCACCAGCTTCACTTTTTGTAAAGAATATAACAGGGTATAATGATGATCACAGTCGCTCAGTCCAACCTATATCTAAGGGTTGTTGTTGTGATAAGATTGAGAGGAGGAAGAAAATGATGCAAGCTGGCTTGAGTTCCCTGAGCGGAAAAAGGTGGGATATAGATATACTAAAAAAATAAATAAACCTCCTACTTATGGAGGAGGAGGAGGAGAGAGACTCCTTAAACAGCCTAGTTGAATATCCAATGGAGAGGAGTTTGATGTTTGCAAGACTGCTCAAAGTGGCCCAAGTTGCCTCCAGGCAAACCACATCTTGGCCCTTAAGAGGGGAGGCTTGCCATGGTGGTCAGCAGAAGGTGGGAGGCTACAGTTTGGAAACGCACCTTCTTTTGGATGGGACAGGCCCAGCCAGGTTTCTCTTCCTTTGCCCACAATTTGGAAAGCTGAAGAGGATGTTGCTTGCATGCTGATACTGTAATTCTGTGTCTTCTTCCATCTTCAGAGCAGCATGGAGGTACAACCAGAGCTGGCTGCTACCCCAACCTGGCCAATATGATTTTGCCTCCTGAGGCCACAGTGGGCTTTGTGCATGGGTGTGTGCTCACACTCACAGATTTGGGACAGATGGCCCTCTTAAGCTGCCTGTGCTACCTGCCCTAGCTCTGCACACAGAAACCATGCAAGGTTATTTAGTTATGTAAACTTCTCAGTCGCTCATCCCTGGGCCAGTAGACCCCGTTTATTTTGTTTCAAGCAAATCTGGAGAGTCATTGTGCCACTGAATATCCATTGCTGGAGAACATGAGGGCAGGGTGTTATTGAGAGCCTTCCACAGGCATATGGATGGCCACTGGGTGATCAGAATGCTGGATTAGATAGATCCCTAGTCCCCTTCAGCATGACTCTTCTTATGTATGCCATACACATACATACATATAATCTGCTTGACACACATGGACATAATAGGCTGTCCTGTTACATCACTTCCAGCCTGCAAGCTGTGTTTGAGCAAAGGCTCCTGGATATCTTCAAACTGCCATGCATGCATTAAGACCTGTGGTAGAGACTGGGGCTCGGATTCAGCTAAGCCTGCATTTGCAATTACCAGTTTGAAGTGTGGCTGTTGGCTTCAGCTGTGAAGTATGGACATGCTTGACCCTCTTCTCCATGTGCTGAGAGGTTGCAGAGATGCAGCTCTTTCCTGAGACTGATTCACTTTGCCAAAGCTGACAGAAGGGTTTCAGTGTTTCACAGTCGTTGAGGTGATCTATGAATAAGCAGACTGAGCGTAGGTGGAGATACAGTCCAACTTGCAGAACTATCCACTGCCCTACATCAATGCTTTAGCAAGTCAGCCAGCTTTCAGCTCTATTTTCTCTTTTTCTATTACTGGTATTGTTTTCCAATCAAGCCTAGGTTGTCCCCTTCTTGTGGCTGGAGGTGGTGGGTGGGAATAAGGATTAATCATCTTCTCCAACTGTGTCATAGCCTTTCCAGGTCATTGCCTGTAATTTCCCCAACAGCAAATGTGCTTGGCAATTTTGCCACTGACTATTACGAAATATTAGTTACCTCTCCTATCTAACCCCCTTCCCCAAACCTACAGCAGTAATATTAAGACTGCGCTGTCACTTCTCTAGGGAGTAAACAGTGTCTCTTTCTCTCTGCTTGGTATCCAGGCTGTTAGAAAGAGAAAGTAGCAGAACTCCTAGAGCCCCTTTCAATAAATGAGGAAGAATAAGATGATTCCTGCTGGACCAGTACAAATGCCTATTCAATCCAGCATCCTGTTCCTTGCCATGGCCAACCCAATGCTCTGGGAAGCACCCAAGCAGGATATGAAGGCAAGAGCCCTTTCCTGCTGCTCAGCCCCAGTAACTAGCATTCATTCAGACACATGCCTCTGATCCTGGAGGAAGCATATTTCTGTCAGGATTGGTCATCATTATGCTTGCTTTGGCAGCACATATACTGAAATTGGGGTGATACAGAGAAGATTAGCATGGCCCTACTGCAAGAAGGACATGCAGATTCGGAATTGGTCATCATTTCTAGTGCTATCTTCCATGACTTTGCTTTTTGAAGCCACCTATGTTAGTGATTATCACCATGCTTTGAGGAAGTTAATTTGTTTTGTGATAATTTGTCCATCCTGAATCTCCCACAGTTCAGCTTCATGGGATGCCCCTAACATTCTAATATTGTGAGAGAGGCAGAAAACCTTCTCTTGATCCACCTGCTTCACATTATATAAACCTCAATCATATCCCTTCTTACTTACAATGGAGACCTCTGAACTGGGTACACCAAACTCTGCACCAAGTCATTAGGAATAATTCTTTGAAACATCAGAAGAAATGGAGGTATACTGCTGTTGGGTCCTCTAGCAGTGAGGTGACAAAGAACTAATGCTGGTCAAGTTCAGATTTTACAACAGAGCAGCAAGCCAACTATATGGGAATAGCTTAGATATGGGAAAATCTACATAGAGTCACCACATGTACGCCGTCATGGGGAAAGCAAAATCTACCTGTCTCATCTATGGACCAGAGCTACAGGTGGAGCTTCCTACTAGCAACAGACAGGAGCCCAATGGAGTATATTGAGACTCATGTGAGAGGAGAAAGAAAACATCCACTTCTTTTTCATTCTCAGCCAACAACAGGTTGACTTAGGCTTTAGTTCCTCCATGCAGTTGCTGAACATTTTCCAGCAAGTCAACTGGACCAAAGAGTATCCAGTCTTACCTTCCTTTAAATGCAATTTAATCATATCCAGATATGATTCTGCCCATTTAGGTTTTCAGGAAAATTCAACTATTGATTTAACCTACTGAAAGCCTGCATGCTACCCTTGACTGCAAGCCAAGTGAATTGCATTCTGGGTATAAAAATGGCAGTCCCTGTCTGCAATAGAAAGTGTGCTGGTACTCATGGGCAAGGGCACTGGAGGGAGGCTTGGGTCATGGAAGGGAGAAATTGTGGGTCCAATCAGTACCTGTGGGAGGAACTGCTCCATCATAATCCCAGGAGGTATTGGAGGTACTATATAGGGGAGGTGGAGGAGAGTGCTGCCATGGATGCGAAAGGAGGTGGTTAGAGGGATTAGATGAAAGAGGAACCTCCGTAGGAAATGGGTACTGGGGCAAATAGACAAAAGGATATACCGGGAGGAGGAGGCCCGTTGCAGGAGGATTCTTCGCAAGGCTAAGGCTGATTACGAGCTGAGACTTGCCAAGAATATCAAGAGCAATAAAAAGGGCTTCTTTTAGCATGTAAATAGGAAGAGGAAGGGGAGACAAGTGGTGGGACCACTAAATAAGGAAAAAGGAGATCCAGTGACTGATATGAGGGAACAGACACAGATGCTAAATGACTATTTTGCCTCTGTGTTCTCCCCAAAGCGGCACAGGGAATATCCGCACAGGAGATTAGATGAGGCTTGGGATTTAGGGGCACAGAGTAGAGTCACCCCCCTTGAAGTCGAGGGGGTCCTTAGGGCATTGGACATTACAAAGGCGCCAGGCCCTGATGGGTTACACCCGAGAGTACTTAGAGCAGGGGTCTCAAACTTGCGGCCCGCGGGCCAATTGCCGGGATGGGCAGGGCACGGGGGAGGGGCCCTGCGGCCTTCAAAGCGCCGGTGGCACCCGGGCCGGCCTCTGGGAGCGACGCGGGATGAGTGGCCCACCACCATCGCGGTGGTGGAATACTTGATGCGGCCCAGCCTCACCCAGTGGCCCCCAGGTAAGTTGAGTTTGAGACCCCTGACTTAGAGAGTTGGCAGGGGTTCTCTCGCATCCGCTGACCTCCATTTTTGAGGCCTCGTGGAGAACGGGTGAAGTTCCAGAGGACTGGAGGGTGGCATCAGTGGTTCCAATTTTCAAAAAGGGTAGTAGAAGGGACATGGGGAATTACAGACCTGTTAGCCTTATGTCCATTGTACGAAAAAGAATGGAAAGGCTCATAATAGAGAGAGATCTAGTGATGCTAGATAGGGAAGGGAGGCTGACAGCCACACAACACGGCTTCCGCAAAAACAAGTCCTGCCAGACAAACCTTGTGGAATTCTATGACAAGGTTTCGAGATGGCTAGATGGAGGGGATGCAGTGGATGTGGTATTCCTGGATTTCAGCAAGTGCCCCATGATATCCTGGTGGAGAAACTGAGGAGTTTTGAGATATACCAAAGCACTGTCCGGTGGATTAGGGCATGGTTGACTGACCGAAAGCAGAGGGTAACCATTAGTGGGGAATCATCGGGATGGCAGCCAGTGACAAGTGGGGTCCCCCAGGGCTCTGTCATGGGGCTGATCCTGTTTAATCTTTTCATAAATGACATGGAAGAAGGGGTGAACAGTCTGCTGATCAAATTCGCAGACGATATTAAAACTGGAGCAGTGGCCACAACTGAGGAGCAGGTACTCCAGATCCAAAAGGATCTGGACAGACTATGGAAGTGGGTAGGAGAAAACAGGATGGCGTTCAATGTGGATAAGTGCAAGGTCTTGCACTTGGGACATAGGAATAGGTGTCATAAGTACAGGTTAGTTGACAAGTGGCTGGAGAGCAAGACTTGTGAAAGGGACCTTGGGGGACTGGTTGACTGCAGGCTAAACATGAATCAGCAGTGTGATGCGGTGGTCAAGAGGGCAAACGCCACCCTTGGTTGCATAGCCAGAAGTGTGGCTTCTAGATCGAGAGAGGTATTACTACCACTCTACACAACTCTGGTACGCCCGCAACTGGAGTATTGTGCTCAGTTTTGGGCCCCTCATTACAGAAAGGATATAGCCAGGTTGGAGTCAGTGCAGCGTAGGGCCACAAGGTTGGTGGCCGGTTTGCAGGGGATGCCGTATAAGGCGAGACTGAGGGAACTGGTCTCTTCAGCCTGGAGGAGACTCAGAGGGGATCTGTTGGCGACATACAGGTATGTGAGGGGGTGTCACATGGAGATGGGTAGAGATCTGTTCTCCCCTGCAGAGGAAGGCAGGACGCACTCCAACAGAGCAAAGCTCAGGGAGCCAAGGTTCCATTTGGATGCCAGGAAGCACTTCCTGACAGTTAGGACCCCGAGGGTGTGGAATGGGCTTCCACGAGAGGTCGTTGAGGCCCCATCAGTGAGGGTGTTCAAAGATAGGCTGGACATGCACATGGTGGGCATGTCGTGAGCGGAGCAGGCTGGTGCCGGAGGTCAGACTAGATAGCCCGAGAGACCCCTTCTGACTCGCTCTGTTTCTGCGTTTCTATATCAAGAGCTCAGCCAAGGCTGCCGCCAGCTCTTGTGGGCATTCCTCTTTCTCAACAAAAGGCAGCACCAATCTTGATTGGGATTGCAGTCTGGGGGAGGATGGATATAGGATGGTCAGGTGTCCAAGTTTATGGATGACAGCCCTCAGTTTTGGAGAGCTGAAAGAGGACAGTCCTGTGTTAGGGGTCCTCTATTTGATTAACTGTCCACTCCATTTGTGTTTATAGTAAAAGGATCATAAGGAAGGAGAGCAGATGGGGTCTTGAAATTGCTGTTGGCACGGAGCACCTGGATAACAGACTGAGCAGACACACAGGACAATGCTGTATTTCAATGCTACTATGACTCCCACACACACACTTTTTGGCAACATATAAGTGGCACTCTACTTTCTTCCCATGCCATTTTCCTGCTGAAAATCAATCCTTTCCATCCTCACTGAATGAAATCTGGGTCATTTCCCCACCTCTCTGCACAGTTACTTGAAGTCCTAAGCATCTTATTTCAACATGTGAGCATAATATGTAGCTTGGCTCTGAGCTGAGAAATGAAATACAGCCAGTCTTGTGATACCTGCTCCTTTACTTTGCACACCCACTGGAGGCAGAGAGAGAATACTGTATTAAAGAACTACCTCAGAATGGTTTTTGATATACTGAGGGCTGGGGGAACAACTGTAATTGGTTTGCAACCTATCCGATTAGAGAAAAGCAAACACCTGACTAAATTATAGAGGCAGCACCGCAAGGGACCGCTTTTGCTACAGTCAGTTCATTTAATCATTTCCCAAAATGATCCCCCCCACCCTGCACTTCCTTTTCTGGCCATGGTTTGGTAGCCTCCCGTACACATCAAGACCCTGTAATCTGGCCTTTAAAACTACAACAGCCCCACCATAATAAACAGTCAGGTTTCTTCTTTCCCCTTTCGTGGCCATGTGCTGCTTTAAAGTTATTATGTTTAAGCATTGGCAGGGTGGGGGGAGAAGAGAAATTTCCACCTCTGGTTAAATAAGTTTGCTTGTTCATTTTTGCTGATAGTAGCCGTCCACCCCAGAGAGTCTTTTCAAATCCTTTTCAGTGTTTTGGGAAGTGGATAAGGGAGTCATTCAGCGACGCACGAATTTCACTTGAGCCTGGAATGAAGTGTGCATTTCATAAAACAAGAAAATAACCTCAGACCACACACACACTGCAATTTCTGAGCTCCAGCTCACTCCCTCCTTCCCCTCCACCTCCCCGCACACCACCACATCCTTCTCTCTCCTCTCTGCCCTGCATGCACACGGTCACACACACACACACACACACACACCCTCCTACAAAACAAGATGATGACTGACATTCTTAAATCCGTTAAGCATCCATCTACAACAAATGGCAAAAGGAGGTTTTTAGAGCTTATGTGGCTGATTGTTAGCAATGAGCTGATGAAAAAATGGATTGCTACAGTATGTGCTTGCTGTGCTGAAGAGAGAAGTCACCAAAAGCCTTCTCCTTACACACCCCTGCTTTTATAGGCAGGTTTTCAAAGGAAAAGGCAGCTGAACTGCTTGCAGTTTGAGAGATAGACTTTAAAAGGGAGTGAGTGCATTTCTGTAGGGGGAGGAGCAGGTTATGGAGGGGGAGCACCTTTAAAGTACTGTAACTTATGGTTGCTTCTGCAAGCCACTGAAAGAAATTCAAGTCTGAAAATGTCTTCCTCTAATATTCAATGCCGTGTGTGCATTGCGCTTAGTCTTATGATTTGGGCAAAGGACCATCCACACTGATTCCCTCAAGGTAGCACTAATCTCTGCTGGAT